GCGTCCAATTCAGTTAATCGATCTTGAATCTGATTTTTTTAGAACAAGCAAACAAAAATTAGGGATCTTGCTTACCGAAGCCATTTAGTCACTATAAAATTCGTCTCACAAATGAGTAGTAAGATCGCTCATAGTGCGCTCCATCTTACTGTGCCGTTTCAATCAACAACAAAAAACACCTTGCGTTATCAATGCACACCTTCTTGCTAAGCTAGCGATGTAATTTCCGTTATAACAGCGAATGATTTTCTGGGGAACTTTCTGTTGAGAAAAAACATGTCTCTCCTTGTAATCTACAAATGTCAAGGTCTAGACTAGGCTATAATAATGTTGTAATACTGCCAAGTTTTTTGACACCTTGTAACGTCACCTAATGTATCTAAGGTTTCCGAGGTATGTCGTTTTGGCGACCCAAAGCTGACGTCGGATTGGAATGATTCTGTAAGGCTATCCGTCAAATCTCTGAAATTTAGAGATGAATAATCTGCTGCTATTTCGGAGTATGACCAATTTCCATTATTTCTAATCTAACCTGGTTGAGCTTTGCGCTGATTCCTCATGGTAGATATGAGCGAGTAGATTCTGTAGTGATTTCATCCTTTCTTCTGGTGGACATGGATCGAAGCGTGCAACTTGTGATCTGTTGGGAATCAATCTTTCCGAGTTTTGCATCTGCCTGTGCCTACTCACGTTTTTCGCCAAAGAGCATTTGGTGAGTTCGCAGATAGGGTGTTGCGGGATGTACAATATGTCTTAAGGGTTAACGACCCGCCGTAAACGTGGGATGGCTTTGGAAGCTTTTCAAAATTTCTTTCACACTAAGGAGATGAACGTTAAAAAGATCTAACTCAGGCATCAGCATAAAATAATAGCTGATGAAACATACACCAAATTTTGCTGCTTGCGGAATATCACAAGAAAAGGAGAGCTGTAAGTAAAAGTTCTAAATTTCTTTGGAAGAAAGACGCATGTGCTAAAACCTCGCTTGATTTCAGCGTTAACGAAGACGGCATGGGTATATCTGATATTGAATGACTTCGTCGAGCCATAGGCGAGCTGAACAAAAAAGGAGAAATTAACGGAATGAGTTCAATGTCAATAAGAGCCTCACTTGGATTTGTCATCTGTTCTTCCATTTACTGCCAAACGATTCATCGACGTCGTGGAAGAATATTTTTTGAACCTAAAACAGGAGATCGTCATGAGAAATAAAGGTAGTCAACTTCTTGGCAAGTGCATTTTATAATTTTCGAAGGTAACTTGCAACGTCTAGGAATTTTAGTATGTAAGACTCCTCGCAATGTACGTGAATTTTGAGTTAAAAAGCAACAACAGGGATACACGGTAATGTTTAAAGTCGCGCATTCCAATTAAAGTCATCTGATCCAAATATCCTTGAAGGGATCTCAGCTTTCAAGTCCAAATCCTCGATGATGCAGCTGAATGATTTCGTAGCGCGAACCTATCACATTGTTGAATTAACGCGCAAACCACCGAATACGTGCCAGTGCGATTTTCTTACAAAGGAAGGATGCTTAGTCAAAGTTACGATAAGAAGAGATTTATAGAGTAGATGCAGTTTCAGACGCTGTTCTATATCTACCTATTGCGAAGGGTTTCTCTAGAAGAAGATATGAGCGTTTGAAAGTTCTAGGCGATAGCATCACCTCTAAGATAGCCAACGATTGTTGAGACGAGTGGAATATAGTGTAGCGGTAAGTGTGTAGTTTGTTAAGCTGATTGATGCAGGAATCCCCTCAACTCGGAGCACTTTTGCACTTTTTAAAAGAATATTCTTATGCGTTAATGAACGTTATCATTTTCACTTAAATGAAGGTTCAAACAAAATTTTAACATGTGAGCATATTCATTTTATAAAACTTATTCTCCTCAAGACAAGTGTGTGAAGCATAGATGCTTCTCGCAATGAGATCATCGAATAAAAGTTGCTTCACTGCAGCCATTACTTTCCTACCATCAAGCTGGGAGAAAATCAAAACTGATTAGGGGTTTCAAACAAGTCAGTATGTTCTTCTATATAGCCGGCCGCTATGAGAATAGATGGGCGAAAAGAACTTGATTATGGAATCTCTATGGTGTGATGGAAAATCAATCTCGTGGGCATGTACATATAAGATGAAAAGTTTATACATAACCTTAAACGGCATGAAAAAGTGACCACATTTTAGGATTTTTTATAAAATTATCATTTAAGTGAAAAAGCGTCATTCATTCATTAATAACATTCATCACAATTAGATTAAAACATTCTTAGGAAAATGCAAAACTGTTGCGAGGTGAGAGGAATCGAACTTGCATCAATCAGTTTGACAAACCGGCACACTTACACTACACTAACCCCCATTTCGACC